GTAACTCAAAACCTTCGAGACACATATCACCTACTGCATTGTATCATTTGGCCTGGGTGCTTGCTGTGTTGTCAAACTTCTTTGCTGCTGCTGCTGCTTTTACACTAACATGGAGTTAAGAACCCATGAATGTTTCCGTTTGACACAAACAGGAGGACTTGCTTCTAAATCGTGCAATAAAGATGATTGGAGGAAACATCTCTATTGCAGTTGATATACTGGAGACCAGAACAAAAGCAACGTATAACATCAAAACCAACCATCTGAACTATTAGCATTGTTGCTTTACTCTTTTTCGTGGTTGAGTCTCCTTCAAAAAATTTAGTTTGATTTTAGAAAATTTTGCTTCTGCAGTCTTGTCTTGCCACCAACGCGTTCAGTAGATGGAGATGGCAGAGGCGAAGGCTATTTTTGTGTTGTTGTTGCTGGTTTAGGGATCGGTTTGTGAAGAAGAGGGAGAAGAGAGGGGGAAAAGGAAATGCAGTAGAGGGGGATAACTCTTTTCTCCGACAAAAATGGAGTGAAGAAAGGAATTATGATCAGTAAGGATATGGTTATCTTACATAACGGTCTCTATTCTGTTTGAATTGAGCTTGGGAGGCAGTGATAAGGACGAGCTGCAACCAATTCATAGTGAGAAGAGAGCTATGAACTGTGATCATGTCTTATTTCAAGTTAGAAGGTAGTTTCAGTATAAGGATTATTTAATTTGACAAGTTGTTTCGTCCACGATTCTTGATAGTTTCAGTGTCATTCTAGCCATTGTTTAGTCTGTAATTTTTGAGAATTGATGTGCGAGTAATGGCTTTCACTTAGCTTCAACTATTATGTGCATATTTATTGGCAAGTGATAGAATTCTCTTTTCCTTTTCTTTGAATTCAGTTTCATACTCTAATTGTATCATTTGTACATAGGCAAATCATGCTCGAGATGACAACTCGCTGATATGGCTGGTGCAAGGAACGAAGCCATCATTAGAATTCAGACCGACAGCGGGGAGGGATGCCCATGACTAATTCAATGATGATTGATGATGGTATAATAAAAGCTGCAGTCTACATCAGCACCAATTTCTAGGCCTAAGTAAAGTCATTCAACCCAGAACTCTGCTTAGCACTAAAAATTGCCCTCACCCAACCTTGATCCTGTTTGACCCACTTCTGAAGAGTCAAGATATATGAGTAATCCTCTCCGTTCGTATTTTCTTATTGACTCTTTCTGACCCTTTAGGTTGGGGCGGGTCGGGAAGAATCAGATTAATGGGTAGGTCCTAATCAAGTGGAATCTCAATCCCTTCACTCTCACTTGCTTTCTCTCCCATTCCACAAGTGGGTAACATAAATTAATCCGGCCAACGGGCCGGGTAATAAGCTAGTTTCCACAACCAAACGAAATTATAAGAAACAAGAGTGCGAGGCTGTGGTTCCTTAAAAAAAGAAAACTAGTGTGGGCCCCGGGCAGTTGGCCGGAGGAAGGTGAGGTATGAAATTTGATAATATAATGGGGTGTATAGCTTATTGTTGTATAGTTTTTTTTTGGAAAATTCGTGATAAAAATAGTGAATTTTAGCATGAAAGAGACATGAATGATGCAATGAATAAAAAATCGGCCTTATGGACCAAAATCAAGTACATGTTACCTTGTGAAACAATATTGTTTCTGGTAATATGATGAGGTGGAGTAAGTTTTATAGAAACCGAATTCCAGAAAATCGAATAAAAAATCGCTTATCCCGTCGGTTTTCGGGAAATGAGCATTTCACAATCGTTGCTAGCTTTTACTCGGCCCGTTGGTCGATTAATTTGCTTTATAAAACTTTCATCTTGTCGTCATTGTGCTTTCTGGTTTTTGTAAGGCCATGATAAAATCTAAGGAAATCAAGAACGAATAACACAATTTGGGATAGGAACCGCCGTTGTCGTATCCTAGAAAATGGTGGTAAACACAGACTCACCTGTCAAACTGGTTTGGATTGAAATTCTTATCGGGTATAAGGGAACCATGTGATTATAAATTAGACTTGATCGAAACGGGCCAAAACTTGAAATTCAGCATGTTTGACCGACCCATGCCAAATTCTAATTATTCTTTACTTTTGAACTTTCTATTTGAAAATAAAAAATAGTGAAAGAAAAGAGATGACTGCAATTCGCCATTTGCACATCACTTATTGATAGACCGTTAATTACACATGTTTATACCCCTGTTCTTACACCGTTTGAGATGTGATTTCTCGTGTTTTAGGCCGATTTCACGCCAGGTTGTGCTTGTTTGTGATATTTCAGGTCCTAGTACGTGAATGGAGGCTTGGGAGCGAGTTTGGGGTCGATTGGACGAAGATCGGACGCGTGGCGAGGTGCTAAGGAAGCCGCACGGGCATCCCTGGACATCACACGGCCGTACAGAGCACATTTGTGGCCGTGTGATTTTCGCCGAGAGCAAACACGGGCAGGATGAAAATCCCACACGGCTGTGCGACCCTGGCCGTGTGGGATGCCTGAATTTCGACTTAAATGATACGATGCGTTTTGACTCACACGGGCAACTGGGTGAGCCACACGGCCGTGTGAGTCGGGAAATCTGGGTTTTTCAGCCAATTTCGAGCCAAAAGGGAGGGAATCGGATTTGGAGAGCAAAAATAGAGCGCTAGAGAGAGAAAGTACGAAGAACACATCCTAGAAGCTATCTTGGAGCTGGGTTTCATCAAATCGAGCTTGGAGATCGTCATAGGAGTGGAAATCATCATCCCGGAGCAGATTTTCCTCATCTTTATGAGTATGACTACTCCGATTACTATTTTCTTCTCTCTCTCTATGGAGTAGAACCCTTCTCTCACTTGGGTATGAAGAACCCTAGTTCCATGTGTTAGGGATTTGATTGTAATGACTTGGGATGATTATACTGTTTGGTTTTAATCGAATGATGCATGTTTATTGAATTGATTAAAGTCTGATCAGCTTTTCTTGATTTCTGCTGCAACCTGAGATAGATAGAATCTGATTAGGTTGTTAGAGCCTCTTCATTCGATAGTAGGAGATTGGTTATACGAGAGTTAGCCAGTTTACTGCTTTGTACTGGAATTCAATTCCAGTAGTGGAGTTCTATGCTTATAGCCTCAGCTTTCTATCCCGGTGAAGACTAGCCGTCTGCCGGGTAGTTAGACTGAGAGGGCTTGGTCAGCTTAAGAGATTCCAAGCTACTGTCGGATCTTCCGCAGTCTAATCAACAGTGAATCAACCCAGGGTAATTACAATTGAACCTAATTAAGGAGCTAGGGGGACTCATTCCTGAGTGACTCTTTCCTGCTTTAGAAAACCGAACCATTTTCCTGCTTTCTTACTACTTTTGATTTAAACAACAATCAATCGAATTAGTTGGCTAGATAATAGATAATCACGGAGTAAGCAGTAGATCTAGACCCCGGGTTGATAATAGAACTTGCCTGTTATTGCATTCCCGGACTGCGATTACACTTGGTCGCAGTTTGGAGTTGTGTTTTGGCGTGTCACTTATTCGAGAATAAAACCATAAAAATTCAAAAGGAACTGAAAATGTTTAGGATCGTTTTAATATTTAAAATAACCAAATAGATCGTTCTGTTTAGTTTTTTACTAACAAATACCAAAGGATTCCCTATAAAATACACTATAATTTGATTATTATGATATCAAATAATTATATAATATATATTTGAAAATTGAAATGATAAAAATTGGACTAATTGGGTCGATCGAGATTGCACCATTGAATAACTTTAAAATACATTATATTTTAGCCACTAAGATATAAAATAATAGCATAATATATATTATGCCAGAGAAAATAGCTTGTTTTAGAATGACAAACCAATGATGTTCATTTGTTTTACTTGATGGTCAAATCCGGTGTAGGTTAGACCCATTCAACTCTTTTATTTTATGGTCAACTCTTTTATTTTCTTATTGACTCTTTCTGACCCTTTAGGTTGGGGCGGGTCGGGAAGAATCAGATTAATGGGTAGGTCCTAATCAAGTGGAATCTCAATCCTTTCACTCTCACTTGCTTTCTCTCTCATTCCACAAGTGGGTAACATAAAGTAAATAATAAGCTAGTTTCCACGACCAAACGAAATTATAAGAAACAAGAGTGCGAGGCTGTGGTTCCTTAAAAAAAGAAAATGAGGGTCGAGGTTGTGGCAAAAATTAGGCCAGGTTTCAACTATTGGGCTATGGATGTCCATGGTTTGGAACGTGCTTTGTTGGGCCGGGCCTCTTACATTACCCATCATTTGGCCAGCAGCAGATTTCGTTCATTTCCCCCCGACCCAATCCGTTTAGCTTCCATTCTGCAACCACGGCTTTTGCTCTATCAAATTCTACATCTGCTTTCTATAATGAATTCATCATATGAGAAGTCTTCTTGTATAGAGATCAATTGATGAATTAGATTTTAGTGATAAAAAACAAATTCGTTTCATACTGTATTCTGTCCCCTACAAGTAGAACAAGCCAGGACGAGAATATCAACGCGAGAAACTGTATATATCTTCTCAATCCAGTATTATTAAATTTTGAGAAATGTTGGGCGGATTTTCACCATCTCCCTCTCTGCATCTCTCTGTCAATTGGGGGTTGGGGACACTCCTGAACTCGCAACGTCTTTAAAAGAACTATAACAGTAACAATGATCAACACCACAATCCTTCTTCCGACACCCCTTCGGATTCAGATGAGAAAGGACTCCATCACCTTGCTAGAATCTAAAACCGTTACACTTGTAACAAACAAAATACTCGTTTGGATCCGAAGAGTTTGGGAATGAGACATAACTTCGAGGGTGCAGGCGGCTCACACTTTTGTAAGATTACGTGAAAGAAAGTTAGAGAGAGAAAGTAGAGTGAATTGATAATAAAGATACCTTGTCATTTATAAGGAATTTGTAGTGGCATCAAGGTCGTGTAATTTAACACTTGCGCTAATATCGACCCATCAACCTTAAGGTAGAACAGTAGAAGAAGCTATATGGATTCATATAATGCTCATGACCTCTAGACCTACTCGTTGCCATAGCTCAACTTTTGGGACAACGAATCCACCGCCACTTGCACCGGAACAAGCTTAATAGCCGAATCGGTTAGCCACATAGACAACAAAGCCATCACACGAGCTCTTAATCGTAAATGGCTAAATGCCTATCCGTCGTTGTTAGTAGTAGCCTCTATTTTCAGAACCGGACTGGAGGCTGAACTGAAAAAATTAGTGGTTTAGTGTTCACCGGTTAACCGTTACAAAACTGTTGGTGAACCGTTGATAGAACCATTGACGATATATAATATATAAGACTTGTATATAACACTAATTTAAGAATGAAATTATCATTGACCATAAACAAGTTCAAATTCATATCATCACGAAAATATCTAATAAATCATTCCAACCATCTCACAAAAGAAACCACATTTTTTTAATTCAAATTAAAAATTACGGTTCTAGTTGTTAGTAGACAATGTAAAATCGACAATAAGGTTGAGGAAGCATATATAAAATTAATAATTATGATTTTATGGTCTTAGTTTATATTAATTTTTTTTTTGTTAAAATAATGAACCAGTGGACCAGTTTAACCATTCCGGTTCATCTGATTTTATGTTGAATCGTGAAAAACCGTTTGGTCCATTAATAACCGTTCAAACAATGAACCGAACCGCTATTATAATTGGTTTGACGGTTCTACTGGTCTGGCCGTTGATCCGGTTCGGGTCTTATAACAATGGTAGTAACATTCAAGCTATCTACTAGGGGGATGTGATGGTGCACGAACCGTTCTTCTTTTCAATTAAAAGCCACTTCCAACAACAATGTTCAAATCGACCTCCAACGAATTGGGTCTTTCAATTGAAGCTCAGAAGCAATATTAGTGACAGAGGACTTCAAGTCAGCAGCAGACAAGGCAAAGGCTTCAACTTCAGTAAGCGTGATGCAAGTCCTAGAGGAAACGGGGAGCTTCATTAGGCTGGACGAAACTGCAGGCCGCTGCTGCAAGGAAGAATTACAAGTAGATGCTACTGTTAGTGTAGCCCATTTCAGGATCTCATCGCCATAGAAGTCGCCACCTTCGAGGATTTCATTGTTGAAGATGCCTGCAGAGGTACTTTTGGACGATTCCATACTTCCCCTGACAATGAAAAGCATCTCCTCCAACGGGTCTCCTTCCCGGATGATGCAGCTTCCTTCTGTGTACAGAACTGGCCTCAAGCGCTCGCACACCTCCTCCTGTCTTCTCTCATCCAGCTTCTCCAGCATTGGTACCTTTATTCAATTATTTTCCACAACATCAAAATTTGCATTCCAATGATAAGTCGCGCGTAGTTAACTAACTGTTCATATGTACTTACTCTCTTGATCAAGTTTAGGCAGAGATGGCGCTTCATGTCCCTTCTCAGGTCCTTGGGAAGACTGCGTAGCAGATCATGGAAGTCGACGCCCTGCTGCCTTCGCCATCTGTACTCTTCATGTCGCCTGACTCGTCTCTTTAACTCTTGAGGGACAAAATGGGAAGACATCCATTTCTCCACATCTTCCCATTTCATCTTCATCTCCTCCATTCGTATCGTCGTGGTTAGAATCCTTGTCTGCAGATTATGATGTATGATTTATAAAATAATTTCAAAAGAAATGTTTCAGAGAGAGCACGATGATGGCGATTAAAAGTTACCTGAATGACAGCGATGACAAGAGAAAATAAGAACAACCCAAGAACGAAAATCCCGATTGCAAAGCATATCTCCCAAGTACTGTCCAGGCTTGGTTTGATGTTCTGACCTAAAGTGCTGCAGTTCAAACACTGTAAGATCAATTCATTTTCCACGATACTCGACTCCTTATTATACCAGCTCAAGGTTGGTATAGTAACTTGAATCAGTGGAAAATTTGTAACTGACCTGAGACTTTGGAGAGCCCACCAAAAGCAGTAGAGCAACTTCCTCTCGAAATGCAATGACTTCAATACACCAGAGTTAATTGCATCTGCGAACATCCCATAGTTGATAATCTGCAAAGAACCTCCTGCAACTCCTGAACCTGTGGGGCAACTCTGTTCCAGAAGCACTGATGTTGAGCTATTATTCATTGGAGAGTTTCTGTCATTCCCACAAGTTAATATCGCATTGTAAACACAGCCACTAGTTTGACTATCACAGGCTGCTCGCCAGCAATCCATTTGACGGCGTATGGATAGCGAGTACCAGAATGCTCCTATGACCTACACAAACAAATATGGGTCAATCAATCCATTACAAACAGTGGAAAGAGCATTCAAATTTTTGCATTCAAGCTTTGAATGATCATTAAACACTAGCGAAACTTTAAACTCATCCGCTTGTTGGGAGTTCCATAAATGGATCTTCTACCCTTCTCTTATAAAGTTGAAAAACCCCTCAAACAAGAGCTTGTCACTATCAAATTTGAAGTTTGCATGAACCTACTGTATATCAACCCAACTATTACTATCAGAAGAGCATAGAACCGATATACAATCACCATTCTTTTCCACCATCCATTCCATATCCTAAATGAATAATCAAGCTTTTCAGTCACATTCCTCTATAACCTAACAACGAGGAACTGAACCCATGAACTCAATTAACACAAAACAGGATACTGAATAGTGCAAAAAATTGACAGCTGAAAATTTACTTGGGCAAGCTCAGTTATGGTTGACTCTGTTACTTACATGAGCAGCAGCAACGTAAAGAAAGATGGTCATGACAGTCCTAGCAATTGCACCTTTTTTTATGGCATAGGAAGTCTTGATCACTTCCTGATTCAGCTGGTAGATTCTGCATACCCTAGGCACCAATTGAAGGGAAACCCCCAGCTGCAGTGCTGTAATCGCCGTCAAGGTTCCTGATCCCCTGGCCTTCTTCATGAACCAAGCTACTATAACTAGCACCTGCAAAGAAACATTAATTTTTATTGTTGTTATAAGCCATATGGTGCTGCCATGGGTGGAACCATCGAGCAGCATAACCAGGATTTCAATTGAAGACCTTGAGGTCAAAACCCAGCAACCCTTTGTCAGTCAAATAAGAAAAAGGAAGAGAAAATGTTAACCTGAGGGAATGGAAGGAGGGAAACGAGGTCGACGGGGAAAAAGGAAAACAAGTATCTGCGGGCGATTGCGGACCCATCTTCTACCAGCTCGACGGCGCCGGAAACCGTCGAAGACGGAGCGGCGAAGGCGGTGCGGAACCGGAAATGGATGCGAATCAAGTAGAGAAAGTCGACGACGGAGCGCAGTGCCGTGGAAAATGTCGCCAGGCTTCTGTCGAAATCGACGCAGTGGTTCTGGACGCTGTTGATTCGAGGGATGTAGAGGAACAGAGGATCCACTAGCAGAGCAACTCCGCAGAGCACAAGGAAAAACGCGTTCCACCGGCGAACCAGCTTTTCCCGTCGACGGAAAATCCTCGGCGCCCACCCGCCGGAGCAAAGCCGGCGGATGCCCAGTAGTCCATTACCGCCATTCCAGCACTTCACCATTTATTATTGTCTGCCGGAAGTGGCGGGATTTAAGTAAATCGACGGCTCAGATTCCGGGGAAGTCAAATAGGGATCGTGGCATCTTAATAGGTGTACAGAAGAAACTGGGTCTTTTTTTAAAATTTTTAATATTGGTAGAAATGGTCTTTTTTAATTTTATGAGGACGGCCATCATCGTCCTTACGAGGAAGGGATAGGGAAGGCTTGACGGACGACCGACAATACTAAACACTAGAGTGGCCGGTCATTTGGCCGGAGGAAGGTGAGGTATGAAATTTGATAATGAAATGGAGTGTATAGCTTATTGTTGTATAGTTTTTTTTTTTTTGAAATACGTGATATAAATAGTGAATTGTAGTAGGAAAGAGACATAAATGATACAACGAATAAAAAATCAGCTTTATGAACCAAAATCAAGTACCTGTTACCTTGTGAAACAATATTGTTTCTGGTAATATGATGAGGTGGAGTAAGTTTTATAGAAACCGAATTCGAGAAAATCGAATAAAAAATCGTCTATCCCGCCGGTTTTTAGGAAATGAGCATCTCACAATCATTGCTAGCTTTTACTCGGCCAGTTGGCCGATTAATTTGCTTTATAAATCTTTCATCTTGTCATCATTGTGCTTTCTGGTTTTTTGCCAAACCATGATAAAATCTAAAGAAATCAAGAATGCACAACACGATTTGGGATAGGAACCACCGTTCCTGTATCCCTAGAAAATGGTAGTACACGGACTCACCTGCCAAACTAGTTTGGATTGAGATTTTTATCGGGTATCAGGGAACCATGTGATTATAAATTAGACTTGATCCAAACGGGCCAAAACTTGAAATTCAGCCTGTTTGACCGACCCATGCCAAACTCTAATTATTCTTTACTTTTAAACTTTCTAGTTGAAAATAAAAAATAATGAAAGAAAAGAAATGACTGCAATTCTCCATTTGCACACCACTGATTCGGGAATAAAACTATAGAATTTCGAAAGGAAACTGAAAATGTTTAGGATCGTTTTAATGTTAAAAATAACCAAATATATCTTTCTGTTTAGTTTTTTTACTAACAAATACCAAACGATTCCGTATAATATATATTTGAAATGATAAAAATTGGAATAATTGGGTTGGTCGAGGTTGAACCATTGAATAACTTTAAAATACATTATATTTTAGCCACTAAGATATAAAATAATAGCATAATATATATTATGCTAGAGAAAATAGCTTGTTTTAGAATGACAAACCCATGATGTTCATTTGTTTTACTTGATGGGCAAATCCTGTGTAGGTCAGGCCCATTCAACTCTTTTATTTTACGATTAACGGTTAGCCCATTAGAATCCATGCACTAGTTTATTGTTAAATTTTTTTCTTTTTAGCAATAAAAAAGAGTATTGTTTTTGCGTTTTCATATATATTTTACCAACACGGAAAAATAAAAAGACTTAAAGAAAAAAAATTGACATTCCTGGACCCGTTTAAATCCGCATGTATATGGTAAGTTGGCCCGTTCCACAGAGGAAAAAGAAAAAAAATTGACACTCCCTATTTTACCCTTCCTACAAACGCTCATGGAGTAGGGAATTTGAAATGGGGGAAGGGTTTTTTCCTCTCTGCAATTATATGTTTTTAATTTAAAAAGATACAACAAATATACTTAGTGTGATTTGTCATGGTTCGAATCCTATTAAGTGTCTTTTTTAATGAATAAAAAAAAGTAATTGTGAAGACCAAAATGTCCTTCCTACTTTCACTTTGAATGCAGAAAATTTGAAATAGGGTTTCAAGTTTTCTCATTTAGCTTTTATTTATTGCGTAAATGTAAATAAATCACCTAATTTTGGAGTTTAACAATTTGACTTGGAAATTAGGAATAGCTAACCGTAATTTTGTTTATCTTTCCGTCTAAATTATAAATTGGCCAAAATTAATTAGAAAAATATTATTAAGGTGGTAAGTGGTTGGTCAATAAATGATAACCAGACCGATAACAAGGTTAATGATTAATCGATAATTTTTTAGTGGTTCAGTTTTGATTAGTTGTCTTTTGCTTAGTGGTTGATCGCTTACCGATAGGAATGGCAATGAGACAGGTCTGGGGCGGGTATTTTAATATCCATACCGTCCTATGGCAGGTCGGGTCCAGGTTGGGTAATTTATCATGGGGGGTCGGGGCAGGTCGATCCAACGAGTATGTAATTAATGCAAAACATATTAGAAATATTTGTTATTTTCATTAAAAGACCAAGAAAGACCAAGAAAGAAACCATTATATGATAAAGTGTAGTTAAGTTATTAGTAGGGCTGGGAAAATAGATCAGACCGTTAAAAAAACCGTGGTCCAAACCGTACCGCACAATTTGGTTCGGACCGTAGACCGTTAAGTATGGTCTGGTCTGGTCCATGGTCTGTACTATTTTATGTTTTGATCTCTTGGTCTGGCCTGGTCAAGACCGCGGTTTACCGGACCAAATCGTGGACCCAACTGACTTGTAAATACGTGTTAACAGCCCATTCGACTACTCTCCCAACTCCCACAACGACACCCAAGTCTCAACCTTAGTTTTGTGAATCTCGTCCCTCCTTAATTCACAACCACATTTAACTAGAGAGTAGAGATAATTAGGGATGGCAACATTGGCCGACCCGCCGGATACCCACCCGAAACCCACCCATCGGATTAGCATTTTACCCGTCCATCGTGGGTAAAGGGCGGATTCGGGCATACCCGAAATCCGTGAGTAACGGGCAACGGGTGGTGATGGATCTCGTGGTATCCGCCCCGTCCCCGCCCGATCCTCCAAAACGACGTCGTTTTTGACACTAATATATAAACTAAATGAGGTTTAAAAAACCCTAATCTTCATTGCAGCCGACTGTAGACCTTACCTCTTCACTCTTCCTCTTCTTCCTATCCTTCCTCCCTCTTCTAATCGACTCCAGTCACCCCTTCCCTCTCCACTCGTCCTCTTCTTCCTCCAGTCACTCCTCCCTTCTTTTCTCTTCCTCTTCTTCCCCGCCTCCCTACGCTACTGCAACTCTACGCCAGCATCACCAAAATCATGCAACGCCAAAATCGCGCCCGTATCTCCTATCACGCCTGTTCCAATCACTATGATCTTCTCTCTTCCTCTTCTTCCCCAAAATCGGGCCTCCATCTCCAATCGCACCTGCATCTCAAATCCTTGGTTTGTGATCCGTGGGGATCCGTGGGTTATCCGGATCCGTCTGCTCACGGGGACGGTTGACGAAATCCCCCCGATTAAACTACACGGACGGGGACGGGGAAATCCGTCAGTCTTGACGGGCGGGGATCGGGAGGTAGGTACCCGCCCCCGATCCGCCCCGTTGCCATCCCTAGAGATAATCGTGTCTCCATATGACATTATGTTAATGTTTATGACGTTATGGTGTAAGTTGGGATGCTTTTACTTTTTATCTTTGGTATGTATTAAGATTTAGAGTATCAAAATTATTCATGCATATTAGGATTAATGATGTAAGGCAAATAACAATTATTTTTCCTGGTTATTGGTTCAATTTTTTTTTGTGGTTGACTAAACAAATTATTCATTTTTCGTTGAGTGTGGTCTATCTGGACCAGACCAGACTGAACCAGACCGCATAGACGTGGTCTGGACCGAAACGTATGGTCTGGTCTGTGGTCTATACTTTAGCCTCTCGGTCTGAACCATAGACCGTATAGATGGTCTGGTCTGGACCAGACCGCACCGTTTCCCAGCCCTAGGTATTGGAGAAATTGAGGTTTTTACTTATTTACAACTTTATTATAGCTAAAATATGATGTAATAAGAGGAAAATCTTAAGTAATTTGACTAAGATTACAAGTAATTTATGCAGGAACGGGTCGGGACAGGTAGGGACAGGTCGGGTCGACGAGAGGTACCCATATCCGCCCCGCCCCGCCTACTGGGCGGGTCAGACCTGTCCCAAAACATGCCAAACAGCTCGGGTAAATCGGGTCAGGTCAAAATTGCCATCCCTACTTACCGACAAATCCATTATTGTTAACCAATAACCTCCTAATGGTAAACCACATTTTTGGACTTTGGCTAACAAAACCAACCAAATTCTTAATTTCAAACATCCCAATTCATATCTATGGCAAACAACTATCCATGTAAAGTTTTGAATATGTTTATGAGTCAAAACCCGAAAGTCAACGCTCTTTGACTCCTCTCTGCAGTTGACAAAGCGAACCTCGCACACTATTAGTATTTGTTTTTTTATGTTTGTGAAAGATTATGATCTTATGATGCTTGTGTTTGATGTACTGCTAGTTGGTACTCGCTAATTGTATGAAGGCATTTAATTATTTGTAATTTTATGTGCTGGAATTTGGATTATGAATTCATACAAGATGTTGTATTGTTTATTTGTATTGATGTTATTTCTTATAATATAAAATAATTTCACTTGGAAGTAAATCATGAAGTAAAGACGTTCTTTGGGATACTTTTACAAGGAGTGAATGTAAGACTACGATTAACGATATATTTAAGTAAGGTTGCTTGGCTTAATAATGCACTCTAAATTATACATGTTTTTACTCACCTTTGACATTATTTGGGTTATCATTTTTCTGCAAGATTTATGAGGTTGTTTGCTTATTGGATTTGTGTGATCGATTTGCCACCCAAATTCCAAGCATGATGGAATTAGCCAACTCCATCGTTTGTTATATAAAAAAATTGGGGCCCACAGATTTGTACAAGTTTTAGATCCAAATTCTTGGACCCCATGGATTTAAAAATCTCACATTTTATTTGGGATTTGGTTGATGAAAGACAAATCTGTGGGGCCCTTGGTACAAAAAGCTATAAATCCATGATAAAAAATCATCAACACAAACGGGTGGACTCTTTTAAATTTGTAATGAAACAAATCTATTTCACAAATCCTAAGGTTTAAAAACTAAAAACTTTCATTCTAAAATCCAACAAGCAAATATGTTTTTGCCAGTTTTATGTTTGGTTTGTTGTGTTAGAGCGTTTCAGGTAAGTTTGAGCGAATTTGACGAAATTTGGACGAAAAAACGTTGGGGTCGTTTGGATGGAGGA